ATTCCAAAGTTGAACTAATATATAACGGAGGTAGTAGATAAATATATATTTAGTAAAACATTTTATTTGAAAAAATACAAACAAACTATGCATCAAACGGGCTTCATCTAGTAAAGTTATATATGTTAATTATTCTAAAACAAAGGTAGCAATTGTTATTGGTGATTTCCTCAAAATATTAAGGGCACGTTCAACAAAATATAGTCGTTAGTTGTGTGAGTAACGGTTAAGTGTCACAAACTGTTAGCTGTGTAGATAGATAAAAAATGAGTGTTTGGTAAGTAATTGTATATTGTACAAAAAAAAAAATTAATATTTTTTCCTCTAAAATTATAGATTAAATAATTATCAACCACAATTTTTGGTTTTCAGAAGTTAATAATACTATTAGCTTTTGATAAAAGTTAATAACCATTATATTGTCAAATGCTCAAATTTTATAGTGGATTGACTTTGTCAAACTACTAAAAGTTACTCAAAAATTAGTGCCGAACATGCCCTAAAATAACAAGACTTTTCTTTTTCCTTTTGTTACCAAAAAGAAAATATGAAACATTAAAAAAATAGTAATGGTTCAAAACCATTTTAGACGGCTAGACCAGACCCTAGACTCGTTACACTCATTCGATTCAGGCTTTTCAATCTCTATGCCTAGATAGATTAGCCATATGTGTAGAGTTTGGATGCACTTGAGAATTTTCAAATCTTACTAATCCTAAACCAAAACAAGTCTAAGGCGTTAAATTTAATTAAATTCGAACCAAATCCAGATAGACCACGGTATTCTCATCGTACTTAGGGGTTGTTTGGTTAACATAAGAAATGAAAATTCCCATGAACTTCTAATATATGGAATTAAATTCCATAGCCAGAAAGAATTTTTTAAAGTTGTTTGGTTAGTAATGTGGGAAGTAAATTTCCATAGGAATTTCAACTTATCTAGAGAGGACTAGGTAAGTAAATTCCTACATTTTGTGGGAATTGAAAATTCCTAGGAAGTTCTACTTCCCTCATTTCACCAAGTTTTTTTCAACCAAATAACTTACTCATTTAGTGCGTCCCCCCACTTCCAAAGAGTACCTAGCCCACTAATGCGAGAGGGTGTAGAGGAGGATCTATAAGAGATTTCGGCCTGATAGAAACCTTCTGCTTACCAACCAAAAGAAAAAAAAAATTGTATCACAGTGCGTGGTGGATTGTTTGTTATGAAATTAATACGTTCGTTTCCATACAATTTGCAGTGTTTACAGGTGGAGTATCAATCTACTATTTAGTTTCAATATTTTTTAATGAAACGGGAAATGTTCTCTATCTATCATTTTTATGAAGGAAAATCATCAATGATAAGATTAATTATTGATTGTCCAATAAATATAAATACATTACTCCGTATGTCAATAATAAATACGATGTATAAAGAATTATAAACTCAACTACATCAATTAGACCAACTGACAAAAGACACGGTGTATACTCCGCAATATTAAGTTAATAATTCCTTTTTTTGCCTCATTGTCAATATTTGAGTCAAAATTTTAAAATATAGACCATAAATTTTCATTAATCTACAAGAGATAATATACATGTGATATTATTTTATTTATTTATTTTATTTTTTTGACAAGGTGAGATCTTGTTGGATTTATCTATTGTATTTTATTTTATATACGAAATATATATATTATTTTTTTTGGGTGTGTGTCTGTTTAGAGAGCCATAAGGGCGGGTGATTAGAATCGATCACAAGATCTCCTGAAACCGGAAGGGGAGCTCTAACTGAGTGATGACTTTGACTTTATGGTAAACTATTGTAAATTTTGATAATAAATACTTATATATATATATATATATATATATATATATATTCTTTTAAACAACTCAATTCATTAATAAAAAGCCATACGAAATCTATAATATAATTGAAATCTAAATTAACAAATACATTAAATTGAACCAAATACGATTTCCTTCATCAAAGCTACGACCGTTGAATAGATCTTGCATTGTGGTACATTTCTCGCACACATCGCTGGAATATATAGCCTATCTTATTGTATATTCTCGGTCAATAAAAAATTAAATTATATCATATACAAGTAGAATTTTATTACATTCACTAACATCAAAATATTATTTTTTTAAAAAAGATTTTTACTCATATTATATCACTAATATATAAAGCCGATCTCGCAGCCAGACCACGAGGCTGCGAGACAACGACACTTGGCATTCCAGTTTTTTTCCAAGTGTCGTGCCACGTAGGCGAAAAAATAGGTATTATTGTGACACATATGATACTAACTAAGCGATTTTTGGATAGATTTTTAAGATAAAATTGTTGTATAGAGTTTTATTATAGATAGAATTCTAATATTTCATGTATACAAAATTAATCATAAACTTTTAATAAATATCCTATAACTTTGTTCTATTTCCATCATCAAATTCGTTTTAAAAAGTTCTAAAAATAAGTTTTGTTTATAATATATATAATCACAAACTTTTATACGTAGCTGGCCAAATCGTGTCACCAACTATTACAAAAGTTACTTCGTTAGTGCTATAGAGGTTACTTGGTCAGTGTTACAGTGGTTACTCAATCAGTGTTATAGATAGGGGTTACTTAGTCAATGTTAGAGGTTACTCAGTTAGTATTACAGGGGTTACTCGGTTAGTTTTATACGTATTACTTTGTCCGGCCAAATGGTGTGGCTAGCCGCATACAAAATGCGTTGTTATTTAACTTATTTATGAAAATATTAGAGAATCAATAAACAAAATTATTATCAACTTGAAATTATATTTATTGACTTAAATTATTTTCATTGATCTAAAAGTATTTCACTAAACTAAAATTATTTTTTACTTAAAACTTGTTTTTACTGATTAAAGTTTGTGATATCATATGGCTATTTACAAACAAAACTACAAAAAGTACACTATTATATAAATATAAGCCATATGATATCGTATGTCTAAATATCTACATTATTAGAACGAATTATTTGGCCGTATTTAACATTCATGTAAAAATGTTATCTTAAATTTTTATCAACATGGGCATCGCCCGGGCACAAAACTAGTAACTAATATATAAAGCTAAACTTTTACCCAGACCACGAGACAGTGACACTTGAATTCCAACTTTTCGCCAAGTATCGCGCCACGTAGGCAACAATTAATTATTAGTATGACATGTAGGATAGAAATATTGGATAAATAAAGATATATTTTGTAAGAAAAAAAAGTTAGTTTAGAGTTTCATTTTCAATAAAATTTGGATAGATTTTAGGATAAAATTGCTGGTTTAATATTTATATGTACAAATTAAATTATAATCCTATTAAAAAAAATTAAATTATAACTTTCAATAATTATTATCTTAATAATTTATTATTTTTATATCATAATATTCATGTTAAAGAGTATTTCAAAATAAATCCATTTATGATATACTTTAAAAATTATAATCCACGACTTTATGATCGGCAGTACTGTATTTTTAATTTTATAGGTATGATTGTCAAGTGAATATTAACACATGAGTAGAAAATTGGAATAACATAAGGGGGCGTTTGGTTCGCGCAGGGGAATCGAAATGGAATGAATCCAGGGAATGCAGGAGAAAGGAATGGGTTGACCCTGATTTAGCCTGGTTGTTTGGTTGCATCCAGGAAACGGAATGAACTGTTCATTGATTCCCTTTGTGACTGTTTGGTTCAAGCTAGGGAATGAAATTGTCATTTTTTAAATTCTTGTATTATATGATAAACCTGTGAAATCATGAATTAATACTTGAAGACCTTGTTATGAAAAAGTTAAGCAAAAAAAACTATAAAGACATTATAAAAAAAAAACTATAAATAACATTTTTCATGCTCCATTGATTACAAATCCAAATTATCACCTCATGGTGAAAATAATACCAAAGTACTTGTTCATAGATAAAAGTTCATACCAAAAGTATTCTAATAATATTGACATTCAACCAAAGTCTTTGCCAATAATCCTTCCTAATACAAAACCATACATAAAACCATAACATAAAATTTATTTAGGCACTACCATCACCGCTTCCTCCAAGAAGACTCTTAACATAAGCACCTTTCAAAACATCCGGACACTTTGAAAATATCATGAGCTTGTTAGGTTGTGCGGTTAGAATGTTAGCCACTTCAAAAACTTGGGTAGGAGTGACACCTTCAAGATTAAAAGAGAGTAGTTCCTCTAGCACTTGTTCACTCTTTTCAACTAATTTTTGCTCTCTTTCATCCGCACGTTGTTCACGATCATCAGTGCGTGCCATCACAGTAGCCATAGTGGAAAGATGAACATTCATGTCTTTCATAAATGCTTGTAAGCTAGCGAGCTCATTAGAACTTCCGGCACCACCACTTCCTCTCTTACTTTTTTTTGTAGTGTTTTCAGTCTTGATCTTTTTATAAGGAGGAGAGGTAACAGTTTGAGTGACATTACCACTACCTAGAACATCCTCATCATCACTTGAATCAAGTGTAACTTGTGGAGGGGCAACTTTTTCCAAGTTGTTGACTGCATCAGCAAAACCTTCAGCTGGTTTTCTCATTGTGTACCATATCAAATGAAATATTCTTCAGCGTTTTGAGGTTGTCGGGGGCCATTATTCCATTCTTTAATATGATAAAGATGCCCTCTATATGGTGCAAGGAATCCCTCTCCATTAGTATATCCTCCATCACATAGATAATAACAACCTTGACAAATTCAAAAAAAAAAACAAAATTACTCTCTTACTAAGTTAATCTCAAATAAAGTCTACTATGTCAATCGTATTACCTTTAGGAACTTTCAACCCATTAGGCCTAGAAATAGCATCTCGAAGAATCCGACAATCATGTGCCGATCCCTCCCAACCGGGTAAGACATATGTAAATTCCATCTCAGGTGAGCATACTCCTAAAACATTCATAGCAATGGTACCTTTTCTAGTGCGATATTTGGGTCGATCATCACAAGGAACATTAACTAGAATCATTGTACCATCAAGGGCACCTAAACAATTCTACAAAAAAAAAACAATATTACTCTCATTTATGTATACTAGTCTCTCTCTTTATTTATCTCAAATTAAAGTGTTGGTTTTGTTAATTTACCTTGAAATATTTCCACCTTTCATCGTCACAATCCTCTCGTATTGGAGTTGGTTTCTTAAGAAGAACAACATGTAACTTTAAGATTGCTAACAAACAAGCATGAAATTGTCTACTAATAGTTTCACCACTTCTATAAAAGTGAGCACCCATCATTCTATTTTTCTTATGGTGAGCTAATGTGTATAAGAAACCCGCAACCATCTCTTCCAAACATGTGTTTTTAGTTTCATTTAATCCGCCAATATCTCTAACCATTTCTAAAAGTACACCAAATGTGAATCGATTTATACGAAGATAGTTCCTACACAAAGTGTCACTTTCTCTAATCATTCTATTCAAATTGTGCAATCTCATCTTTCTTCTAGTTTTTTTATCTAGCTTTAGAGAATGAGAATTGTATATAGTTTTTCTCATTGTGTACCATATCAAATGTAGCAACACAACACAATTAATCATAGTAATTATGAAACGAATAAAGTCCCAATTTCTCTTCCTTTTCAAAGAAGTACCAATTCGAGCCATTTTCTGTAGAAAAGAAAATCAACAACACTATATCATTGACAAGTTTCAACCTAAACCAATATATACATGTATATACATATGAAATCAATATTGTACAACACATACTACAATACATCTCAACAATTCAAGAAACACTGCCTTCTTTCATACTTCATACTTGTCTACTACTTGTCTACTATACAAAATATAAACTCAGGCAGTTTGGATAACAAGTAAGAGAAAGACATGGCAACACCTTTGTTTGGATAACAAGTAATTGGAAGGAAAGGGAGGGAAAAGCAAGAACTTGTTGCATTTACAGAATGAATACAATTATACAAGCCTTTTTCACAACACAACACTACCATTAATAGTCAAGTATTGAAAATTTACCTTGAAAAAATGAATGCCAAGCACAAGCATATCTTACTACAAACATAATAATGCCCATAAAAGTGAAACAAATAGACAATGTTACAAGCATAATTCAAACTCAGATATAGCTACTCAAAATAGAGATGACAAAATTAGCAAAAACCTTTCTACATAAGCATCTTTCCAGAGGAAACCATAATTTTAAATTTGAAAGGGCACATTATCTCCAAAAAGTAAACATGATGGACCAACAGAGGAGGAAGAACCGGGCTTCACAGTCGTGGTTAAGAGTTTTCAACTATAGCTAGTTGGACACTATAATTTGAAGACCACACATCATATCACAGTACAGCAAACAGCATAAAAGCTACAGGGGAAAGGCTAAATGCTACATGATGCCTATAAAATTATCTATCTACTACCAAAAAATTGGATACGATCGTATGAAAATATTTGATTTAGTTAATAAAAATCAAAATTAAATTAATGATGTCACTAACATTGCTCTGGAGTCCAGAGTAAAATCATAAAAAACTCGTAAGTTGTAACACTTACAAAAATACTAGAATACTTCCCACTCAAATTTCCATAGGGAACCAATTTATTGATCCTACTTCGGCTACATGTTCTTCCCCATAATTGGTTAATATATAAGAGTGTATCATAATGTAATTGCAGACTAGAAATAAGATGCCAACATTATGCTTTCATTATTGAAAACGAAATTCTCCACCCATGACCCATTTTTAGCAAGTATCAGAAGTTGCTACAAGTAGCAGAACATAGACAAACAGTTCAAGTAAAATTATCTGAAGTAGATAACATCTCAACACAATTTTAGCAAAAGTATCAGAAGTTGTTTACAAGTAACAGAGCATAGATTAGGGTATTATAATGAAATTTAAAATCAATCTAAAGATCAAATCTACCTTGAACAAACACGAAAATAGCGAATTCTGAAGTTAGGGTTTACCTTGAACAAGCTGACGGTGGTGGTCGCTGACGGTGGTGGTCGCTGACGGTGGTCGCTGACGGTAGTTGCTGACGGTGGTGGTCGCTGACGGTGGTCGCTGACGGTAGTCGCTGACGGTGGTGGTCGCTGACGGTGCTCGCCGGAATGGGAATGCAAAAGTCAGGGGGGGTAGGGAATGAGATTAGAGGGATTTTAGGTAAAGTGAAAAATAAAAAAGGGTAAAGGGAATGATTGAAATGGAAAAACAAACGACAAGAAACGGAATCATTCCCATTCCGTTTCCTGAAACCCCCAAATCAAACGCCCCCTAAATATTTTTCTCATATATAGTGTATATAATATATATCTTACGTCAAAATATTCCAAATCAAAAGGGATATACACCTCTTACATAATATGATAACAATGTTTGTATCAATGATGCGTTTTAAAATTTGGCATATAGATAAAAAAATTTATTTTAAAATACAATTAACAAATTGGGTATCGCCACCAGAATTAAAATACCAAATAGGCAATCGTCTTTAAAAAAAAAAGAAAAAGAAAGAAATTCTAAAAGTCTGAGAGCCAAAGACTTGCTTTCAAATTGAGGGTTTTGAATAAAGTCTAGGAGAACTCAAATATTAAATGTCAATGGAATCGTAAACTAAATTACTTATCCGATTATGAACATTTAAACCAACTAATGTTTCAAACGGGGATAAATTTAGTCATTAGTGATAATGCCTTTGAGAAAATAATTATTCCTTATAATTATTTTATGGAAAATGCTATACATAACCCTTAGAGCTACATATAAGCATTAAATACACACTAAAAAATCGTGCAAAGTTAGAAAATCATAAAAATATAAACACTAATTACACTGATTTACGCGTGTTTTTGTCATGAATTTCTAATTTTATACAATTTTTAAGAGTGTATTTAATGCTTATATATAACCCTTAGAGCTACATATAGCATTACCCTTATTTTATATGTAGTCAATTAATATAAGGATTTTTAAAACATAAGGATATATATTATTGAGGGAACTCGGGGCATCACCCGAGAATACTTACTAGTCTTACTGTATATTCTCGGTCAAAAGTGTGCTTATAAATTTAAAAAGAAAAGAAAAAAAAAAACTAAAGAAACCGAGGGATTATTATCAATTATAATAAGAATTTAACGGGGTATCGTTGATCCATCACACATTTCATGTGATCAATTGCACTTCATCCTAATAATCAAGTTTTTCAATTCTTTGTAAAATTGATCAGAAATAATTAAGTGATAGAGATAATTAGAGCTGGGCATGGGCCGGGCCGGGATTATTTAACATTAATAATATTTAGTTGAGAGAATTGAAGGAGAGAGAATATGAAATTAATAAAATATGATTTATGTTGGGTTCATTAGTTGTGAGAAATGAATTAAATATGGTAAAAGTTTTCTAAATAAGGAAATGGAGCAAGTATTTAAAAACGGCCGGAAATGAAAAGTGGAGCAAGTATTTAAAAACGGAGGGAGTAGCTTGGTGGGAGAAATACTCTTACAAATCTTAAATACTCTTACAGATTCATTATTGGAAACTAAAGTACATAGAGTATATTTAATTTCATAATAAATACTAATGGTTATAGGTCGAACAAATGTCAAATGAAGCATAGAAATATAATAAATACGAATAGCAAGTTTGTATGTGGTGTTGTATTGTATCGCCCCAACCACCAAATGAAGCCTATATTATTAATGTTAAATAATCCGAGCCCCACTTACACTCACAATCACTGTGCTCCGGACATATTCAATTTCAATTGTAATCGTAATTGTAATTTGTACATCAACATTCAATATTCAATGTTCAACATTGATTCTGTCTCATACTCATGTCCATCTTGGTCGTTATGCCTTTTAGTATGGGGATATCTTACCATCATTATTTATTGTATCATCAATATATTTTACTCTATCTACGCTATATGTCATATTGCATTTCTACAACATTCTATTTAGGTGTGTATCCATTTTTGCACAATGTTGCTTATTGTACTTGAGCTCGCTCTATATCACACAGACACTAACATAGCTAGCTAGCTAGCTACTGTTTAGAGTATTGTAGTTATGGAAATAGCTCTTTCTTTTTACTTGTATGAGATGATTAAGAGGTTTGATTTTATTATCTTTAATAATAACCTTCCTTTTTTCACTTGTTTGATTAGTCAGTATCTCGATAAGATTCTCACTTTAATTTCGAAACTAACACATGCAAGATACAACACGATGTATATAATGCTGGATACCAAACTACCAATACACTAATACTAAAAAGGGTTAAAAAATAAAAATAAAAAAGATATAGCCGTGATTTTGGAAGCACTAATAAAATGTTGTGAAGAAAATATTAGAAAAACCAATTTACCAACCCACCTTTGGCACAACAACAACCCAACTCACTATATATGGCAAAAAAAAGTGCACGCATGTAAGTCACACCAATGTCAACATACAAACTATCACTAGCTTCATTCTTGAAGATCAGATGAAGTTGTTGGTGATTTATCTCCGTAATCCATGTGTATTATTAGTACTCTCAAATCTGATCAGCTTCAAGTGCTGATTTTTCTTACTCGCTTTGGAACACTCATTATCATGACATCATGTTATTTATAACAGTAATCCCTCTGTTTTTATAATCACAACACATCCTTATGACACACACGACATATTAAGAGGGCAATAGGATAAGTAAACGAACAAATTACCTATAATGTGAAATAAATTCAACACTGGTAAGAGGGATATATTAGGCACATAATAGTTAACCCCTTGTTTACAATCTCAAATCTTCTCCTTAATATAGCATTAGAATGATGTATTAGGCATAATAAACGGTCCCACAAAATGACTCGTGCTAACTATTTTCCCCACCAAATGACTCGTGTTTCCAATAACTTGTTTATTAATGACATCACACTCCTATAAGGAGTCCGGTTTTTGTTTGTAATTTAAATTTCTTAGTGTGGTTTTAGGTTATACTTGTATTTTGCAAAAATAAATTTAAAAGGTTGTAACTCGCAATAAAAATAGATAATTTTGCTACTTCTATTTGGCAAATTATTCGTGAAAGAGTGCACTTTTCATGAGTTTCGTTTTTTAAATGCTAGAACTCGCTAGCTCATTAGATATCTAGATTAGTGATGATTACAGATTGACATGTGATATTGTAATTAACACGATATCATAACCGAGAAGAGAGATACATAAAAAATACGAAAAAACGTACAATTTGTATACTCTTATATAATACTCCGTATAAAACTTCTACAGAATAATTCGTAGTTCACAAAATTACAGCTCACAAAAAGTTTATAATAGCCGCACATTTTTTAAGCTATTCGTCCTTGCAGGGCAGGATAACATAACAAATAGCAAAAGAAACACACTTCCAATATAATGACACTCACTTTAATTTGTTAGTTTTAAAATTACGACGGATCAAGAGAATCCTCTTAACTTAGGTAAACTCTCACTTACACAACAAAATAAAATAATCTTTACAATTACATGACTAAAAGAATAAAATAACAAAACATATAAGGAAATTACCTTTACCTCTTGCATATCTTAGAAATTGATAGGCCACATGCACATCACGTGGTGTGGGATACATATAGAATACCAAAAAATAGGGCAAGGGTAAAATTGTAAATTAAAACATATATTACATGAAAAGGGAAAAGTTTTGTATGAGATAAAATTAAACAAAAGAAAAAAGTGGGAAAGTGTTAGGCTTAAGATGCTAAAAGACATAGACAGGTGATTGGTAAGAAAATTAAAAAAGAATATGAAAGGAAGAATGTGGGATTAATGATGTTGGTTATGGGTGGTGGGACATTGATCATATAAGGATTTCTAGATGAAGTGGACCATTTTTTAGATGAGGTATTGGATCCTAACTCATCAATCTAGGAATTATTACCTCATTGACAAATCTCATTTCTACTTTAAATTTGATTTTTTTTTGTTACTATTAATTTGAATTCCAAGTTTTAATCAGTTTGATGTTAGTCATATAGGTTGCACAAAATCGAAGCTAGAAAAAAGGGTAGGTTTAATCTGAATAGTACTTTTTCATGTTAAGTTAATTACGACTAATAATGTTAATTAAAAAAACGACACATAAATTTTGCAAATTTGCAATACAAACGAACTCAAGATAAATGGACATGATACTTGTCAACCAAACAGAACAATAGTATTCCGTATTGAAAAATTTTGAAATGTGAATTTGATTAATAAGGTAATTATTATCTTATTTATCCTATTTTTCAACTTTGTTAATCAAATTGTAATTTTTCGAACAAAAACGTAAATAAGATAATATGAAGTCTTCCTCAAAATAAAAAAGATTATATGAAGTCTATAAATATTAAGATACAAATAATGTAAACATATATAAAAAGAAAAGGCACATCAACACCAATATTTAACTGTTTTCTTTTTTTTTTTTTTTTTTTATTATTATTATTATTTATTTATTTATTTTTTAATTTTTGGACACCAATAAAATAGGTGAAATTGATACAAATATATACTTTTTATTATAAGAGTGAACAATCCTAAAACAACCAAACTAACAAACCTTTCTTGATAGTTTTTCCGGAGCACACAAGTTTTGTTTTGAGCAAAATATCGAATTAGGTTAAACAACTAACAACTTTATATCTTAGTAGTCGCCTTATTTCACTCTTCATGCTAACTCCCCCTCCACTTTTTATTAGGGGGCGCTTGAAATGGGGGTAATAAATTAAGGGAGTAATAAAAGTCAAACTAGTTAAATTATAGTTGATTAGAGGTATTATTGTAGAGAGACAAGGTGTTTATGAATGAATTAAGGTTGTAGTGACATAAGGAAAAGAGAAGGATGGAGGAATCATTATCTTCAAAACGAGGGTAATAAGTTACCCACCCTCCCCCTAGTGTAACCCAAAATAAGGGTAATAGTTCTCTTTTTCAC